GGTGTAGAAGGTGTTGAGGTCATCCGGCAGGCTGTCTGTGGAGCTGATGATGCTGGTGGTGGTCCTGTAGTCTGTGATGTGCTGCAGGCCTTGCCACATCCATCTGGAGTCAGCAGTAGAATAGAAGCCATTCAGCTTCTCTCCTCTTGGCCGCTGTGATTGCTTTGATGTAAACACTGTGCTGTTAAAGAAACAACTACACGCTCAGTGGATCAACTAAGCAAATTTCATTGTATTGCTCTTTTTCAATTTAAGGTTGTGGCCATTAGAAGGGACTGACACCTGGTGGCCAGACTCTGTAACTGCATGGTGTTCCTCAAACTGTACAGTATTTACATTTGCATACCATTATACCCACACATAACATAAAGCAACACATGCAAGTAAATTAACTTAAAGCCATATTAACCAACTTCTCCCTCTAATTTTTGACCATTAAGGGAGACGCGAGAGTCAAAACAAATTCAAGCAGTATACCTTCCTCTTCTCCCTCCTGCCCTGTCTCTGATTCATATGTGGTCACAACAGCTGGAGACAGTTGTAGCATTCAGGTATAACAGCAGTAATAAGTGGCTCCAGAACTAATGTATACATAATATAGAGCCTGTGGTTTTCAGTGGCATTGCAGCCGTTTGACACTATGTCAAATACAGAGGTTTACATTGTAGCAATATGCATATGGATGTACAACATTGGTTGTAGTGGATGTATCTGCAGTAACGCAAGAAAATTTCACTAAGGAATATTTTTTCCAGTAATATTGATACTGTACTAATGTTCAGGCCACTATCACTCAATGTTACATACTTAACACAAATAAGGTCATAAGGTAACTGTTATAACTCTTTACTCTCAGGATGTCCCATTCATTCCTTAAAAAACACTAAGGCCAGTGTAATTACTCAGCAGTAACCACTAACCCTGTTATCTGTGTGAATTCAGGTGATGAGGAGGATGATGATGTAGAAGATGACCTTGACAGGCCAATGGGGAAGAGAGCAGCAGACGATGACGATGATGAAGAGGTTAGGAAGAATTACCATGATATGTGCTTTCAATTATAAAATGAAAAGCAACATGCATTACCAGCTAAAAGTGACCGCAAATATTTCACACTAAAGCCAAGTATAGTTTCTAAAAAGATGGGTCACTCAAATCATTTTAATACTTCAGTTCTTATCATTAAATCAAGAGAAGCATGAGAGAGTGTATGCAGCGTGTAGCCCATCAGAAGCTAAACTAGGATTCTGACCTTTCTTCTATGCATATTATTTGTCCATGTTTTGTTAAATTTCAGAGATTTGTCTCAATGACAAAACAACAGAGATAATGGAAATAGTCTGAGGTTCTCACTACTTTGAAAACTTACATTGAAACTTGCACTCCAGAGGTATTTTAATATTTACATTTGCATATAAAAATACTCTGCTATAAACAGGATATAGTCTCTAACAGTTGTTCCTTAAAAAAGTTCAGCCGGCCTTTGTAATAGGCCTCGACCTTTGCCATGTGATTTATTAACCTTAACCATGATTTCTAGTCATCATAATCATCAATGCAGCAAATGCTGCGCAAGTCTTAGTTCATGCCTTTCTGGGGTGCTAAGGCAAATACTGGACTGTTAGTCTACCTGCAAGTCTTTTAGTCAGATATACCAGCTTCAGCATTTTTTTGATGATGGCAATTTATCAGTAGCAAAATGATGCACTCCCCTTCTGTAGCATTTTCATTTCTACCAAGCAAATCCCCTGACCTGATCAGGACCATGGGCCGGTGACTTTTGCTGTCCGCCTTTGGATGAGCAGTGTATCCCATTTGCCAAGACGCAGGGCAGCATCTGCTGCATGTCCTCTGTGTGCTACAGATACTCACGTTTGCATAGCCTGCATAGAGTAAGAAGAAGCCTAAAAGGTACAGCCCACATAAGGTCTGCTTTTCTCTAATTAGCTGATTGGCTTGAATTCCCCCAGATCTCTGAAGAGGGACATGGAGGTGTGGTTACAAGTGTTACATTTGCCTGAGATGGGACTTCTCACCTTGTGATTCCTTATTTCCAGGATGAAGTTGAAACCAAGAAACAGAAGACGGATAAGTAGTGTTTGCAGAACCTGCTCTGTCAGGAGAGTGACATCATCAAGAGACAGCCAGTTTTCCAGCAAACCTTCTACACCTCAGTCCTCCCTTTTACCAAGAATACTTTAAAAAGAGAATTTGTTTGTATTTTTATTTACATTTTATATTTTTGTAAATATTGTAAGGGGGTTAGTCATTTTGCAACAGTGATCTTGCTGGGTATCAAGTGGTGCTTTGAGGACTTTCAGATCCAAACTCATCATCTTTGTCCACCCACATTCTGTATGAACCAACCAGAAGCATCCAGCATTCCATCCACACACACACACACACACACACACACACACACACACACACTCGCATTCTGGCATGCTTTTATTACAATATAGGGTTCTAGGGTCAGTAGGAACCAGGTGTGTGTACGTGGTCATTTGTATGAGATTCTGCTGTAGTTTCTGCTATCTGTCATGACCAGTTTGCTTTAATGCCTGTGCTATTTGTTGAACAATAAAGTTGTTTGATTTTGTTTTATTGTAACTTTGTTAGCTTATACCTATCAGAGATTGTATCTACCCACAGTGAAAAGAAGAAGACCAGTCATCAGTCATGTGTGATCTTTTCAACAGGCAATGACTCAGTTGTGACTCCCACTGATAATCCAGTTTAAAAATAAAAATCAGATCACAGATGATTTATTTCTTTGTACAGCCAGGGAATCAGATCTCCTGAATGTCATGCTCATGGATTAAAACAGATATCTGGACTGGTTTTTAGATAACTGGTTAATAAGCAATATGGTTGAGAACTGTAAAACACAAACTGGCACATTACCTGAATCTCTTTATGCTCCACTTATACATATAATCAACTTGTAGTCGGGTTGTGGCAGTCTGCTACTTTAATGTCAGTGAATTTCCAGGGAAGGTTCAGAGTGCTACAGTACATCGTTTTTAGAATTTCAGTACATTACATGTTCATCATGAAGAGCAAAAGATGCATTTTTGTATGACAGTTTTGTGAATTTAAGAACAAATGAAACAACAACATGGGTGATATGTCAATCTCTAAATAAAAGTGCTGAACTGGGCAAGTGTAAACATTGTGATAAGGCTAGTGTGAACAAACTGTTGAGAAATTAAGCACCAGCTGCCATGTGTCCTATCAAAGTGTCTTTTTTTTAGCAATTAGAGATATTAAATAAGACTGGACAGAAAACAAATTAATAAAACAATTCTTATTCATATAGAGTACAGGTGATTTTGTATTAAATCTGGACAGCTAACAGTTGTAGGATCACTATCTTTGTAGTCTGAAATTTGAGTTCTTAATGTAATGAGTCCAATTAGTCCAGATGAAATTGACATTAAACTGGGTGATGGCCTTAATGAACTTGTTCGGTATGATCAGTAAGTATGCAGGGTAAATGCATCTTGCTAATGAATCCATATTGGTTCAATATATCCTTCCAAGACTGTTAGACTGATGCTTTGGAAAATATAAGACTAGAAGAAGTTCCAACATCTTTAAGATGATGGTTGTATCATCAGCCAGTTGGCTCATAATAATTTGTTCATCATAAACATTCTTTGCTTATTAATAGAATGTGCTTTTTGTGAATGTTTTTAATAGGGGCAGCCAACTCTGGTCTACACTCCAGCACAGCAGGTAGCAGCAATGCATCGTACTGTTGGTTGAGAACGGTCTGACAGGGGTTTTTGGTTTGTTCACACATCAGTGTAATGATCAAAGCGGAGTCATTGAGAGGGGGAAAACAAGTGAACAAAGCTTGCGAGTGTGAATGTTTCAGCTTTATGACAGATTGGCGAATTGTCTAGGTGTACCCCGCATCTCATCCAATGTCAGCTGTGATCTGCTCCAGCCCTACCTCAACCCTCCACAGGACAAGCTATATAGCTAATGGACAGATGGATGTCACTAAAGAAAGAGACGTGCCAATCCTCCAGTGTGTTTCAATGGGACATGGTGAGTAATGAAAAGAGGTCACTTCACCAAACTGAAGGGACAAAGACTACTAATAGGGAAGAAACTCTTTTATAATTCATAAACAGATTTGACAGAAAACACAAAAACTGGCAGCTGTTTTATAGCTGTAGAGTTTTAGAGCAGACTGTGTGATGTTACCCTAATTTTACTTTGGAGTGAACTGTATACTTAATAAACAAGATTTGGATGAAGCATTTAATCATCAACATCAGTAAAAGGAAGAACTGATGAATTACCAAGTTCAAAGGACGACTATGTTGAAAATGGAGCTGGAGCATCCTCAGCTGAGGTCAAGGGTCATGTAGGAATGCGGCTGCGAAGGTACTCCAACACTGCATCTGTTCCTCTGGCTAGGATTGCTGCTCTGGGTGTGCGGAAAGGATTCCCCTCCAGACTGAGACACCTGTGGGACAACACAGGTTCAACTCATTGTGTGTGTGTGTGGTGGTGGTGCGGGGGGGATTTGACTATAAAATCCAATTTCCTCCAGGTTTTCACACTTCAAAACAAACGAGTACATTTCTGGATTTTCCTAAAAAAACAAAAACCTACACAGAGTGGGAGAAAGTGACTAAGTGCATTTACTCAAGCAGTGTACCCCCACCACTGCCTACATAGTCCTAACTTTAATGAAATACTTTAAGGAGATGGATTATTCTTTGAGTATTGACTTGCTGCACCTAGAACCCATTCTACAACACAAGAACAAGTAAAAATGGCAGTTTGAAGAAAAGTGGGTAAAACACTGGGGGCAGGTACATTTCATTAACATAATTTCACTCCAGGAATGTAGGGGAAACCACACAAGGAAAATACTGAAGAGCATTAGTGTCATTTTAGTCTATAACAAAAACACTGGAGACAGCAGCTGGTGGTGTACAACTACCTTAGGAGAGGGTACAGGACAAGGTGCGGACTTTCATTTCTACAGTCTTATGCAAAAGTTTAGGCACCCCTTGATAAATAACAGATTTTGGTGATTTTTTATTTGAACAGATGTTAACACAGTTTCTCTTGGAAATGGAAAAAATGCACAATATTTTCAGCAAACAGTGATGCATAGTTACTTCTTATGCCATAAATTGAACAAAAATAAAAAATAAAAACATTATTATGGCATGGTGCAAAAGTTTGGGCACCCTAAGAGTTCCAGAGTCTCAAAGTCTCTCACAAGGTATCAGACCTTAATCAGCTCGTTAGATCTGATGCACAGCAACAGCTGTCATTGGTAAATGCCAATTTCAAAGCTGTACAAATACTTTGACTCTTCAAACCTTGTGCACACACTTGTGGACACCCAGCAACCATGGGTTCCTCTAAGCAGCTGTGTAAGACCCTGAAAATGAAAGTTATTGATGCCCACAATGCAGGAGAAGGCTACAAGAAGATAGCAAAGCGTTGTCAGCTTGCAGTTTCCACAGTAAGAAATGTAATTAAGAGATGGCAGATCAGGGGAACTGTGGAGGTCAAGATGAGATCTGGAAGACCAAGAAAACTCTCGGACAGAACTGCTCGTATGCTGGTCAGAAAGACAAATCAAAACCCCCATTTGACTGCAAAAAACCTGCAGGAAGATTTAGCAGACTCAGGAGTGGTGGTGCACCGTTCCACTGTGCAGCGATGCTTGCACAGACAAGGCCTTCATGGAAGAGTCAGCAGAAGAAAACCTTATCTGCGTCCCCATCATAAAATCCAACGTCTGAAGTATGCAACAGGACATCTACAGAAGCCCGATGCGTTTTGGAAACAAGTGCTGTGGACTGATGAAGTTAAAATAGAACTCTTTGGACACAATCAGCAAAGGCATGTTTGGAGAAAAAAAGGAGCAGCATTTCATGAAAAGAACACCTTGCCAACTATTAAGCATGGGGGTGGATCTATCATGCTCTGGGGTTGTGTTGCAGCCAGTGGCACAGGAAACATTGCACGGGTGGAGGGAAGAATGGATTCCACTAAATACCAGCAAATTCTGGAAGCAAACATCACACCATCTGTAAAAAAGCTGAAGCTGAAAAGAGGATGGCTTCTACAACAGGACAATGATCCTAAACATACCTCGAAATCCACTATGGAATACCTCAAGAGACGCAGGCTGAAGGTTTTGGAATGGCCATCACAGTCCCCTGATTTAAACATCATTGAAAATTTGTGGGTAGATCTTAAAAGAGCTGTGCATGCAAGACGACCAAAGAATATTACAGAACTAGAAGCCTTTTGCAAGGAAGAATGGGAGAAGATCCCAAGTACAAGAATTGAAAGACTTTTAGCTGGCTATGAAAAGCGTTTGCAAGCTGTGATATCTGCCAGAGGAGGTGTTACTAAGTACTGATTGTGTAGGGTGCCCAAACTTTTGCACCATGCCATAATAATGTTTTTATTTTTTATTTTTGTTCAATTTATGGCATAAGAAGTAACTATGCATCACTGTTTGCAGAAAATATTGTGCATTTTTTCCATTTCCAAGAGAAACTGTGTTAACATCTGTTCAAATAAAAAATCACCAAAATCTGTTATTTATCAATTGGGTGCCTAAACTTTTGCATAAGACTGTATGCACAGGTATGCTTCTTACCTGAGACTGGTACACAGTCCCAGTTCAGGGGGGATGCTAAGCAGGTCATTGTTTGACAGATCCAATGTTGACAGATGATCCAACTTCATCAGATGACTAGGATCCACTCCACCCACCTGGTTGTTGCCAAGCATCACCGTCTCCAAAGAAACTATCTGATAGAGGACTTCGGGAACGGACTTGAACCTGTGATCGGAACAAAGACTGAGTGGACAAACTGATGGAGACAGTCCAGCTGACTGATCCTATCCTACAGGTGCTTCAGCAAATTCTGCATTCTATCATCCTCGCTTCTCTGTTCTGGGACCCAGAAATCAACTGCAGTCTGCCATTAATGAGAATGTTCAAATCCCTCAAAATTAGTCTCAGAGTAAAGAGGCATACACGCCCGCCATCATGGGGGGATCAGTGTCTTGCCCAAGGACACTACAACATATGGACTGCAGGCACCGAGATCCAAACCTTCAAACTTCTGGTTGGGAGACGACTGCTCTACCCACTGCACCAATGTCGCCCCCAAAGGTCAATATGAGTAAGGCCAAGGAGCTGATAGTGGACTTTACCAGGAAAAACCATGCCCTAACCAGACCAGTAACCATCCACGGAACAGATACAAAGATTGTTCAGACATACTTGTCTGGATGACCTGTAACTTCTTACTTCTAAACTGACAAAACTGAAGTTATTGTGCTTGGGCCTGAAAACCTTAGAAATCTGCTGTCTAATCATATAGTTACTTTAGATCAGTGGTCCCCAACCTTTTTATCACTGCGGCCCGGTCAACGCTTGACAATTTTATTGGGGGGTGTAACGTAGAGTGTTTATATTGTGACGACCGCTAGCTAGGTTGAGAGGAGCTGGCCCGAGCCTGTCCTACACTGAAACAGCTAACTATCCAGCTATGCCCTAGAACCTACGCTGACAGTGAGGAGAACACCTTCTTTGTCTTTTCTTGGGTTTTATTGAACAACAGAGAAAGCAAAATAACTGGGATTTACCTGGCACCGTGTGCTCACAGGAGAAAAGGAAATAGCAAAACTGAAAACGGTAAGAACATTCCCTCCGGGCATCCCGTGTCCCGCGCCAACAGAATCTAAACAAAAAACGCCCACCTGTCATCCCTCTTATCTCCTCCCGCACCTGTTCCTCCCCCCATCCCACATTGGCCAGAACAGCGCGGCATTTCACAGAAAACGGC